TTTGTAAGTAACAAATCAGTAAAAACAATGCGAAACTAGTACGACGCCACGCAATTATTTACATATTCCAATAATGTTATTGTTATGTAACCTCATTACTGATCTGAGGCTGGAAATCTGTTGGGTTGATACTTCTGAACTTCACGAAGAAATTGACGAAAATTAGAACATGTTCTAATTCGTCAAGAACTTGATGAATAAATTCATGAAGTTATTTGACAGCAGATTTGGTGCATTACACTTGTCCAATTTCTTGATGAAGCGACTTCATGAATTAATTGATCAATAAATTGTCAATGTAAAACAGCTTGCGTTGCTTATTATCAATTATTTAATAAACAGTTCTATCTGAATTTGGTAAAAATGGAAGAAAATAATTGTGTTCCTGTGACTGTTTTTGAAGAAATCCTGGGAACATTACGAAAAAGTGTTAGCCGAATTTAACGAACGGAGGGAAAAACGGAGAATAATGATAATAAGTGAAGATGTCATGCTATTGTATTTTTTAAATTTGAAAATATGCAATTTCATCTATGTGGTCCAAGTATTCGATGTTGAAGGCTACTATAAAGGTCTACAAATATATAGTATTAAACTAAATGTTAATTAATAAATCGATTATACACTTGTATTAACAAAAATTTATAAGAAGTGAACATACAGTTTGTATGTGAACGCTTCAAACATTCATATCTGAATAATCCTATCTCATGTACTTCTCAGCCCGTTGGAATCAACACATTGGCGAAGGTACACTCAATAGTTCCTTCATTACTGAATATAGCAAATCCAGAAGCATATACTGGTCATTGTATGAGGCGCACTTCAACTATTTTCTTGGCCAATAAAGGTGCTGATCTTACAACAATCAAGAGGCATGGTGGATGTAAAAGCTCCTCTGTAGCAGAAGGTTATGTTGTGGAGTCTAACAAACTTGATATTGCAAGGAAAATCCAAAGAAAATATAGCTGTTCCTTACAAGAAGAGACATCCGTAACTTGTGCAAATTATTTACAAACTTCGGCAGATGTGCGTTCCGAAAATGATGACAACAATGCTACAAGGGTTATTATTAACGGAAAGCAAGTTAAATAAAACAAAAAACGAAATGTCTATTACTATAAATATAAATGTTAATAAGTAAATAAATTAAATTTGATTTATTATAGGTTTATTATTTTTTCATTATTCTACTAGTGAAATAAAGCTACTTTATTCCACTAGTGGATAAAGTATCACTTTAGACGGTTCATATGTGTGGATATTATAAGGTGATTGTGGATAAACGTATTTTACATCATTTGTTAACTGTTTGTTGCTTTATATTGGTTTAATATTTTACCCATGTTTTTATTATTGTTACAGCTAAAAACTCAAATGCAGAGGGAAGCCCTTTTGGCTAAAGAAGCAAAATACGAACATGGCCTGAAGAAAAGCGAGTACGACTATGAGGAACTATTAAACGCTTTTAGAGAAAGTAACAACACTCCTAAAAGCGATGGAAGAATAGGTATGAAAAATTTAAATTTTGAATAACTATTTAGTACTTTTGTTAGAACTCAAACACGTTGATAGTTTAGCCATGTAGCAGAAATAGGCCGACTTAAAATAACCAAAAGGAAAGAAATATCAATATTTCATTTTATTGTAGAATATAATACAGAAAAATTGAATTTATGGATTAAATCTTTCAGGCGTTAGAGGATCTTGGGCAAGAAGATTGAGCAGACTTTCTGATGGCTTAGACGCTCATGTGGAAGTGGTGAGCAGGAAAAAGAACTCCATATCAGCGACAGTATGGGAATCCTCTTAGAATTAAGTATTAAATACATTCATCACGATTTTGTTAACGTTTTATATTGTACTTAAGAATAAATGTTGGTTTTACAAACCAGAATTTTAATAAAAAATTAGTTGTGATCCGAGTTCAATTCCAACAACGTGAATAGTAATACATGTGCGTTAAAAATTCCTGTTCGCTCAGAAAGACAATGAAAATCCTATATATTTGCTGTCAAGTTTCGTAATTAAATTGGTCTTTTTAAATCTGGTATTAACCAGGGTCATTTAAGAGTTTCACGACTTTAGAGTTTTGATGAATTTCCGGTCACAAATGTAGTTTGATTTCAGTAACAATGCACCAAATTTGAAACAATCGCTCAACTGCAGAAGTTGTGGAGAAATGGCAATTAAAAAAATTACTTTGGAACTATGTAATTCCTGTAGTGTAGTGAAAATAGATTAAAAGTTACTTTCAATATTTTACTCATTTTCAGTATAATAGAACATTGTATATTTGAACAAACAAAAGTATTTGTAGTATTACCACAGACAATATAGCGTATCGCTACAGACTGCTACTTAAATGCTGGAAATTGGCAACCCGAAATGGAAGCAGGGTCTCCTTAACCGGCTTCCAGCTATAAAATTTAGCGTGGTAACTCTTCTACTTGCTAATAGGCGGCAGTTCCAGCGGTGGCTTTGTTGCCAAATAATAACTGCTAAATAAATTTAATGCTTTCAATTATGTAATTAAAGAGATATGGAACTTATCTTGTGTTTGGAAATCACATTTGCCTTAAATGTTAAATAAAATAAATCAAGTTAGAATTAAAACTATGAATTTACCTAATTAATTATTTATTTTATATCACCTTGGAATGGGAAAATTCAAAAACTCGAAAGTAATGTTTTTAGATTTGTGCGTCGACTTCCAATATGGTACGATATCAAAACCTATGTTTAAAAAAATTGCATTATACAGATTGTGTATCCTTAGATGGGTACTGCCTCTTATTGTTGATTTCTTTAGATAGGTAAATAATTATTTATTGACACAAGTGTTGCATATTATGGATGTCATTGGTAGTGCCCATATTTGTGACACAAGGTGTTCAAAAAAATTAACACAATGTAAAATTGCTGGAACCTCAAGGAGTAGTTGAATACGAAATTTATTTAAAAAAAAACAACAAATCATCAATCAATACAGAGATAAGATAATGCGTTCGCTACTGCTGTTGCAATTTTTAACTAACTAACTTTTTTGTTTTTCGACATACTGACTTCGGACCGTTTCCATTCAACGCAGAACGGACAATCAGAACCAGAGTAGTGGGGAGATTTTTTTAATTATTTTTTCAATTCAACGCACCGTTTCCGAATTATAAGACCTTTTTTACTGTATCACCTCACACACCTCTTCTTTCCGAAATTTATTTTCCACATACGGACTTCGGACCTTTTCCATTCAACGCAGAACTGTCATACAGAACCAGGGGTGTGGGGAGATTTTTTCAATTATTTTTTCGATTTAACGCACCGTTTCCGAGTTATACGGCCTTTTTACTATAACACGACATACCTCTTGTTTCCAGAATTTATTTTCGACATACGGACTTCGGACCTTTTGCATTCAACGCAGAAGGAACATACAGAACCCGGGAGGGAGGGGTTGACATTTTTCAATTATTTTTTCGATTCAACGCACCGTTTCCGAGTTATAAACACTTTTTTATCCTATGACGTCACACACCGTTGGTCCCGATTTTTTTTTTGACATGCGGGTTTTGACGTTTTTCACTCGTTCACCATGGGAGATTTATTTGTTCACCATGGGAGATTTTTTGATACTTAAGAGTCTAAGCAAATACTGTTTTTTTTTCTTTCATATATTGTGACACCCCGCTCTGCGTCACCCACCGAGTGCTCTACTCAGAACCAAGGGGAAATTTGTTTATATTTCCAGCCATTTCCGAGTTACGAGCAAAAACCATTTTTTTTTCTTATACTGTGTGACATCATAGATCGATAACGAAGGCTTAACAAGGCCACGCGCTCTACCCCACGTTCCCTCCCTAGGTGTCCTGAAATTGCTGGGGAGACTCCTGAAGACAGCAGAGAGAGAGAGAGAGATAAGCTCTCTATGAGGACAGAGTCACTCTATCTCTATCGCACACTATAACTCTATCTCTCTCGCACACAATCAGACAAAAACGACAGAAACGAACCTTCTTTTAAAAATACATGGGATTTATCATTATTAGAATAACCCATTTTAATTTAAAAAATTAAAAAAATTACAATGGGTTATTCTGATGACGAAAAATAAAACATAATTAACTGTATTATTCAAATAACAATAATGTGCAAAAGTTCTTCAGGAATATTGGCAAATTTATTTTGGAGGAAGAATCCCGTCAACGAACACTAAAAAATATTATTAGAAACCTTAGGTGGCCAGAAAACAGCCCCGATCTCATTGTCAGTCCTTTAGACATTTTTTTTTTACCTGAAAATTTGCAAGTATTGAAAAAAAAATACAGGACGAAATGCTTGATAATTTTGAATTTGTTTTTGAAGCAATTAATAGTAAATTGAAACATATTTTCAACTGTATCATCACAATCACTTGCATGTTGATTTGTAAAAATTGTAGGTATATTAATGTTATTTCGTTTTTAGTTATTCTCCTTATGTTGTTGTAAAGGTTAGTTATAAAAAGCGTTGTTTGTTATTTTCATAAGGATGAATTTTAATTTTTTTTAATGATTTTTTTTATTTTAAACATATATATTTTATGCCAGTAAATTTTGATGTCAAATGAAATAAAGGAAAAGTCGTACATTTGTATTTAAAGTTTCTTTCTATCTTTAATTATTAAACCTATAAGTGGATGTCAAAATACAAAAAAAAACCTGTACCTACATTCCGCGACGTACTAATAACCCACCTTGTATATTAAATAAATTTATCGTCATCATCAAATATTAAAAAAATTATATTACAAGCTGTTTAAAATATTATTACGAATTTTGTTTATTTGGAAATATATTTTCTGCAGTATTTCAATACCAAAAAATGAAAATAGTAGGTAGCTAATTAACGAAATTATGATTAAATAACTTAATTGTAACACCACTGCAGAATATCATATGATACATACATAGATATTCGTTGATTCTTTAAAAACCTTTTTATCAATACCTACATCATACATTGAAGTAAATGCAGTAACGCAAAAAACAGATGTTAATAAAAAAGTGTACAAAAGAAATCCGTAAATACGCCTGGCAACATTACCAAAGTCTTGTTTATATGTTGCTAGGATACGCTTAGGTATGCGGGCCGCTGTATTTGATTCTTTCTAAAATTCTGCTGGTGGTGTACTCTACCGGCAATTCGGAAATTTAAAACTGCTTGCCTATTCCAGGAGCGGTCTGTGGCGATAGCTATTTTGTCTGTGGTATTACTAATCGTCTAATATTACTATTTATACCATTTCATTGATGAAATTGATAGTACGAGTACTGTAGTAATTAATCCTATACCGTGAATGCATATTTCCATTTCAGAGAACGGAACTATTTGGTAATTTGTTTTTATAAACGGGAATTTTTCGTTACATACACGGAAACAACAACCTGTACCACATAGTAGTGAATTAAACAGGAAAATAATTGAATCGTTCATGTTTCATTTTCTGACTGACGATTTGTGTAACTAATTACTTCATCTGCAAATCCAAAATAAAAAAAAATTGTCAGGTAAAAGATAACGCAGAATTTTCAAAAAATAAATAACTACTACATGAATTCTAAAAAAAATCTGTAGATCTAATGTTTGTGTATTTATAAGTGAAAATATAATACAGTCCGTACGACATTTGTTGAGATAGAATTTCAAGAAGACCACTGCATCACTTTCTTGGAATTAACTGCATTCGACACCCGAGGTAGAAAGACATTGGCGGAAAATATTAAGACACGCTCCTGCCGCAGTAAATTGTTACAGTAGTTCCGATAACATTACTTTATTGGCTTTTTCTTTTGGAACTTCATCTCAACAAATATTGTACGGACCCAATAAAAATCTGCAACGTCATCCTTTTGTTAAAATCCGCTGCATTGTGCTTTTTGAAATGTTTAATTGCAGTGTCCGACGGTATACTCAGGTTATGGGAACTTGCGCCACACTGTCACTCACCGTAGCAATATTTTCGGTTGAACTTGAATGGCTAGTACGATGCCAGCCTGTTTTTTATTGTCTGCAACCGAACAAATTTGGCAACTTCATTTGGGGCATTTCTTTTCTGGAAAATTCCACGTAATTTGCGCACAGTCTCACCTACACACTCTCCGTCCTTGTAACGAATTTTCACAATCTTCACTCCTCATCCGTCGTATAGCGCTTTTGTCTAACGCAACGTGTTTACTACAACATGTAATCCTGCATAGTGCTGCTAACCCTTCGGAATAAAAATGGCGTACAATTCAAATTTTGCGTTACTCTTGGGATTTCAGTTGTGTCCGAATGTTTTCTTACGGAAATAATGATTCTTAACATTGAATAGGGTGTCCAGAGTATTGACGGCATATTTCTTTTTGTAGAAATACGTCGACTGATTTTTTTCGACACTTTTTTAACCTCCTTGTGTCACACTATTTTTTGATATTCAGGTTCATATCGCGCCTTAAATTTTGTAAAAATGTCACATTCTTCTTATTTATTGGATTATTTTACTAAAGTGGACAAAATTTCCTGCAATATTCATGTTGCTATCGCTTTGTTTGACGATCTTATTATGCAACTCGGTAATTTAAAATTTACTATTTTTTGAGCACAGCAAAGCTACATTATTACTTGTCAAAATTCAGGATAACTGTGAACTGATTTAGAGAAACATTTGTGTCAGTTTCTAATCCCTTACTATACAGAAACGTACCACTTGGTAAACGTTTGTAAATTCAATTCCTCGACGTACTAAAACAAACTATAACATTATGGAGATCTGCGCTACTTCAGGAAATCACACAAAGTTTGTTATTCAATTCCTCGACATGTCGAAACGGTCTGTAATATTTTGGGAGTTTTTGTTACACCATAATCAAGTTGTTATTGAAATCCTCGATATATTGAAACAAACTATAGCACTCTGGGAGTCTCCAATACGTGAGGACCTCACAGTTAAGTTTATTCATTGAAATTCAAATTTGATCCAACTAACAAAAGAGCGTGACTTTCGGCGTTATTCCACAACAAAGGTGAATAGGTGTGTTTGTGTGGAAAATTATTTATACAGGATACGACAATGAGAAAACTTGCGCGCAATTATAGTACCTAGTGTGATATTATTTAATCGAATACCACGTCTAATTAGGTTAACAGTAGAAATCCGGAGCTGATTGTTTGGATGTGGATATAAAATGTTTTTTGGATATTTGTCCCATCTCATTCTAATTTCATCTGTGGTCAAAAGTTATCGGTAACTAGTTACGTCAACTATGAAGGCCGTTTGTGCTTCTCTTGTGATTTTTCACTTAATGGTAAGTAGCAATAATTTTTTATCAAAATGTACACGTGTATCCATTACAAGAAATTCCTCACGCATCTTTTTTCTATAACTGATATAGTTATTTAAAATTCTGTTTTAGATAGCTCGACTGATTTGAAACAAATTAGATCTCTTTTCTTTTTATCGTAAATCCAATAGTTTTTGAGCAAAAAATTAAATTATGTGTAATTTGCACAAAATGATTAAGGACTTTAGTTTTTACGAATTACTTTCTTTAACGTTAGTTTAAAACTACTCAAATTGTTTTTCCTCGGTTATATTATGTTTGTCTTAGGTCTGCTCCATTGGTCAGGGAAGACCCCCAAACTGGGACCAACGATTTGACCAAAGACCCAACGTTTTTGGACAGGACTCAGATAGGGACGGCGAAAATGATCGAAGAAGGTTTTTCGGAAATAACTTTCGTCCAGGCGAGATGTTTCCCCGAAGACCACCACCACCAGGAGAAAATAATGGACGACGCCCTGTGGAAATACCACCCCCAACAGGACAAATTGGACCAAGTGTAGGCGTTCCACGACAAATACCATCCCCGACGGACCCAAATCCGAATCAAGTACGACCGATTGGAAGACAGGGACCTGAAAACAACGGACAAGACCAAGTTTCGCCACAAATGCCACCTCCAATGGGTTCAAATCCGGGACCAATTGGAGGATTGGGTCAGAATGAAGCTCCTCCCCTTGAACAAGACCAAATAGGATCAGAACAGGAAGAAAATCCCTTAGGAATAGGTCAGGAAGAAGTAGCGGCACCTCGACCCCCTCCCATAAACAGAAGACCAATTGGAGAACCGGCACCAACTCTTCCGGAACTACCCGTAGATCAAGACAGGGGGATGGGGCAACGTCCAAATCCTGGAGAAACAGAGTTGATGAATCCTCGACTACCACCAATGGCACGAATTCCAAATCCAGCAGGGCAAGAAGATGAGGTTGAACAGAGAGGGCTACGATCTCCAGGAAATGATCTTTTTATTCCTAGGCCAAGTCAACCTCCGCCGACTCCAAGAGCACAGCCTCTTCCAAGTCCACCTCCTGTTCAGCCAGGAATAGAGCCAGGTGGTATGGCAACTCCACAACTACCGCCAGAGCCTCAGATTCCAGATAGGATACCGGAACAAGGCATGAGACAGCCAGACCAGTTTGGAGATCAGGACTTGTTTAGAGCCTCTCCTGGGCAAGCTGGTGATTTAAGAAGGCAACGGCCTATGGGACAAGTTAGTCCAAAGTCTACTGGATTTAGAGGGCAACCACGTCGTCAGGACAATGTACATAATAGGCCGCCAAGATACCAAACTTCAAAATAATGCTGTTATTGTTCCAAGTTATTCTCTCTGTATCTTCTGTTTGTAATTGATAGATTTATGGACTGACTAATGGTTCTAAAGTACAAATATAAGAGTATATGTTTTTGGAATGTAATAAATGAACATAAAAAAATAGTATTTGATGCCTTTCTTAAGGATTTAGAAATTTAAAATGAAAAAAATATTAATTACAGATTTCTTGGGAACATAAACATAAGGTTTTAAGTACAAAGAAATCTATGTTTAGAAGAACAATTAACTAATGTTTATGACGTCAAATATTTTACTACAAAGATTTGAAATGCTTATCCTCAAATTTATTTTTTGTTACTTTGAGCACAATAATGGCTTTCTGCTCTTGAAATATGTAAAACTTTTTAAAGGGTTAATAAAATGTCAAAACGTAATTTTTGTATATTTTATTCGAGTTTCGATCTACAATATTTTAGAATAAACTAAGAAACATTTGACGAATTGTTTTCAGCTATTCACCCGTAAAGGTCTCTTAAGATCATTTCTAGAAGGAACTATCAAGGTGATGAGGTTAACAGTTGATAAAGTCATAGATCACGAAGATCTTGAATATAACACTTACTGCAATTATTGTTACATCAAGATTATATCCCTGTTTTAGTTTTATATCTTCTAAAAGATACTATTAGAACTTTTAAGAATAAAATATAACCTTAAATTATTGAAATGCTCTAACACCAGTGCAAAATACTATCACAACATAGATCACGAGATTTGAAAGTATGTAACATTTTGATTACTTGTTAAAGAAGATAAACAACACAATATACCCTTAGTAAGTTACGATAATACTGTCAAAATCTTTAGGTTATGTCAAAAACAAAGTCTGGTGACATATGTATGTAGGTATGCTGTATACCATCACAACATTCTTGATGATTGTAATACTGATATATACTTAAATTAAGCGAAAATACGTGCTATGTCTGCCACTACAAGACCACCCAGAAGTTGTTTTACTATTAACACTATTTCAAAGCTCTCCTGTGAATAAATTAACTGCCAAAGTCAAATATTTTTGGAACTGTTTCTTTATCCTATCTTTAAGAGGAACAACTTCTGTTTAATCCTACTGTAAGTGTTTATTTACGCTTGTGCTAAAATATACAAATAAATTAAAAGGAATAAATAGAAAATAAATAAAGAAACATTTAGGACGATCACTTTTGAAGGCCACTCCCCACAGTACCCACTAGATCGGTGAGAAACTCCTTCAGCGATGCATCCCTCTTATTAACAGCTCTCAACACCTCGTCATGGTTTGGCTCCCTGTCATCGTCATAAGAAGAAACGCAGATGTTGGTTATCAAACTGAAACCGAAAACAGTTATTCCACAATGCCTTCCCACCAAGACCTCCGGAACAGTCGACATTCCTACGGCGTCCGCTCCTAACATCCTCAGGAGGTTCACCTCGGCGATGGTCTCGTAACTAGGACCTCCGATCATGGCATAGACGCCTTCGTGTACGTGAGGCGTCAGGCCCATTCTATTGGTGATCTCTTTAGCTTTGCTTAGTATGGATCTGTCATAAGTTTTGTTCATGGATGGGAACCTGGGACCGAACTTGGCGTCGTTGGGGCCCCTCAACGGGTTCTTCCCGGAGAACCCGAAAAAGTTGATGTGGTCCTTGAAGAACATCAAGTCTCCCGTCTTGTAATCCGGATTGACGGCGCCTGCTGTGTTTGTGACGAAGAGTACTTTGATGCCTACAAGAGACAGGACGCGGATTGGTATCGTGCATTCCTCTAAGCTGTACCCTTCGTAGTAGTGGAAGCGGCCCTGCATGCAAACGACTTTGGTGTTGGAGAGGGTACCGAAGACTAGCCTGCCCTTGTGACCTTCCACGGTGGACAGGGGGAAGTTCGGGATGTCTTTGTAGTCTAGGTGTATGGGGTCCTCTAGGATATCGGCGATGGCACCTAGAATATCATGCTTAATAGTAATGGATTTATTTTTATTTGCTCAACTATCGTAACAGCATCTAAAGAAGTTATAGAAAATATTAGGAAAGAGATCTGATAAAGAAAGGAATAAGTCAAAAGGTTTAAGCAAAGTGTGTAAGAGAATACGAATTTGGTGTGTGCAATAGCAGAACTAGGAGAAAGAAATTTAAGATTGTATCCCAATTTTCCAGTCTGCGACATTCTTGGAGTCGAAATAGGACAATTGAACTAAACTTATTTCTGTTTAAAGTGGCTTCGTTTAACCATTAGAGGGCGGTAAAATAGGTAAAAATGTTTGTTGTCTACAAATGACTGTCACTGTCAATAGTAAAAGTTCGTTCATTGTCAATATCGACGGTAAAACGCCAAATAATTTTCACTTGAATGAATTATTGCTTTATAATTGCCCTTGTCATTGAACATGTAATCTTCTTCATTTACAAATTTGTTTTTTCATCATTGTAGAGCAGTTTTGATTTGTTCGTTTTTTTTTCGAAACGCCAATTATTGAATCGTTTGTACCTACACCAATTCGTTCGTGTTTTTAACCAATACGTTGGTGCAATGGAGGCTTTTTCCACTTTTGTCCGGTCAAATTCGTCTTAAAAGTAGTGGTGGAAAATTCCGACAGAGCTAAATTTTGGTGGAGACCTTGGGTACACCATAAGAAATAAAGTGTCAAATGTCCCCTTCAATCCCATGTGTGCTAAATAAGTTATTCTGGCTCAAAGGTCAAAATCTGAGGTTTTTTGGATTTTTTTCGAAAACGGTAAGTTTTATCAAAAAAATAGCTATGACAAAAATTATAGATCTCAAGAATGGCGATTCTTAGAAAAAAAAGTATATGACCATTTTTGTAGATAACTTTAAGATCTATAATTTTTGTCATAGCTATTTTTTTGATAAAACTTACCGTTTTCGAAGAAAATCCAAAAAACCTCAAATTTTAACCTCGAATAACTTTTTAGCACACATGGGATCGATGGGGACTTTTGACACTTTATTTCTAATGGTGTACCCAAGGTCTCCACCAAAATTTAGCTCTGTCGGAATTTTCGTTATTTGAAATGTCTATTTTTACTGGACTACTTGTATCTTATACCTACAGATGCCGATATGTATGGAAATGGTCGATTATCTCCTAAAAAGTCAGATAACCATCGAAAAATCATAAAACACAAACGTTTTTGGTTTTTTTTTAAATCTTTTACAATAAAGAACAAAGTTATGACAGAACAAAGTTGCTTTTTCTTTAATGAAACACCCTGTATATTATTACATATTTCAATTCCTCTCGAAATTAAAAAAAATCATATAGCACGTCATGTACCTAAACTTAACCGTTTTCGAGATATCGAACTTTGAAAATCATTTTCTTATACAGGGTGTTCTACAAAGATCGGTGAGGTACGATTTTAGGGAAAGTATAGGCTCTAGAACTTCGGGGAAAAAATTTTGACTAATAAATCGACCAAAAGAAATCGCTGGAAAAAGTTTTCAAGTTCGTAGCTCGGCCGCTAGGGGGCGCAATGTACAACCCAATGTCATTTACCTCAATATGGAAACCTATAGATGGCGTTATTTCAAAAGAATGCCGTTTTATGGATTCTTTTATGGAAAATTTTAAATGCAATGCTATAGTTTTCTTTACATAAATTTAATTTTATGACACGGCGGCTGAACGAAGCCACTTATTTAAATTGTATTGTGTTGATCTCAAGAATATGCGGGACATTCTACACTTACCTAATCCTGATCCAAAAACGATCAGTATATCGGGTGTGTAAGGCACTCTTTGTTGTATAAATTTAGCTGTCTTTAGCAAATCTGCATGATGAAACCTATAAGGAATATGAACTGTTACACATCAACATTTTTAGACAATGCTTGTGCGAAGAAACTTAAAATCAAACTGTATATATCTTATCTAAAATTTGTGTCAGTTATTGTAAAAAAATATGTGCGCTGATATACATTGGTCCATAAAAAAAGATTACCGAAGCTAAAATACTATGTATTAGATATTAGAAACTTTTAATATCAATGAGCTAAAAAATATCTATTCAATGGCGTAAAAAACTGAAATTTTAGAGTAAAATCAGATCGGAGAGGAGATTTTTTCCTACAGTCTCTCCATTATTTTTTTAGTGCAATACCTAGTGTTATAATGTATGTTAAAAACATTATCATCAGCAGATAAACGTAATAAATTGCATCGGTATTGAAATATTAAAACGCAGATGTTCCCTTATGAAAATAAATAGATTAGAAATTGAACACGGCTACTAAAAACGTGGATTAATATACGAATACAGCCAAAAATGTAATAACAAACACTTCTTAATTAAAATCTAACTCTAGAAAGAACGGATCCTCACTTGCTGGTTAAAAATATCTTTTAGTAGGTATATGATTTTATAGACGATAAGAATATACCAACAAACAACTTTTGAAATTATTGCTTTATCAAAGGGATTGATGGTAACCACAAATAAATATCATTTCAATGTGTTGCCTTTGATAGAAAACCGTACAAATTAAATTCAGTAATGTCAGTGTAATTTCAGTGGACGCAATTGATATCAATAAAAATGGAACGTGATTATTATTCATAACCAACGATATAAAGTTCGAATATGGAAATACATAGGTGAAAAAAATAAATGTCTAAAATTAACCAAGAAATTACTTTTAATACGTCGATTCATTGAGTCACAATTCTCATTCGACACAAACAAAAATAAATTGGAGGTCAATTTGAATAAGTTAAATGATTAATCAATCTATAACCGTGTGCGTAAAACAGTCATTAGAAGTGTCAAGTACCTACTTAGACTTAAGACAATACCTCAGTTTTGAAATATTTTATTAAAATATGTAGAAGAAACCGTTAACACCAGATGTTCGTTTGTATTTGTCCATCTGCAGCCCTTAAAACTTGTATAGACAACATAGTCCCACCCTAACAGATTGCAGAAGGGTTTGTCTGATGTGCAGACGTTGTATGAAGCAATATTATTTATTTTAAAATTAAGAAAATGTGTTGTAATTTTTGTTTTTCCTAACATCCGTCTTCAAAATAAATGATAACCGCTTTATACTCTATACATTTTTTTTTATAAATCTACAGGCACTTAAGGAGAAGCTCTGTCGTGGAAAGTGTTATATAAAGTATAAAAAAATGAGTATCTATTTAAAATATTCAAGGACATGACAAGAGGTATACCTGTTATTAAAAACACATTAAGAATATTAGATTTCTACGTGTCAAATATTTTTTTTATTCTACTTAAAATACTTTGTTTATGTTGATTATAATAACAAACAAGTAATTTTGGCGACAGTAATATTTTGGTAATTTCAGTAGAATAAAATAATATTTTTTCTAAAAATAGTTATATTAATTCACAACAGAATTTAATTTTAATTTTTTTTAACTTTTGTTAAATTTTAAAAAACTTTATGGTTTTCAAAAAAAAAACGTATTAACTGACACAATATTTTAACAGTGTTCATTAGAAAATAATCAAAAAGTCAGTAGTAGACTTTATCTTTCAAATTTGACAATTGGCCAATTAATAAGCGAATATTGTATTAAGTAAAAAAACACAAATAGATAATAAAAATAATTGATATTTTTTCAATAAAAATCAGAGGCAATTATTATTATATTATTAATACGGTTTTTCTTAATTTTAAAATTAAATTCTGCTGTGAATTAATATTATTTTTCAATTCGGTCAATGAAAAAAAAGTTCGGTATAATTTTAGGGGTGAGTCATCCCCAATAAACACCTTGTAGTGCTTCATTTAATTTTAAATCATAGTCAAAGAAGACCAGTAATAAACCTAAATCATGTACCAAATTTGGTTCTTCTGCGGTAGTGTTGCGGAGATATTAATTTAGGGCCCCACTTTGGGGGCTAATAACTCAGGGGTGCAACTTTGTATACAGGTAAGTTTGGTTAAATTACAATATTTTGGACACCCCTACATGCACCTGCCCTGTGTTAGTTCTTATACGGGATCCCTGTATACAGGGTGTTCTACAGTTTTTTTCTTATATGAACGTAGATCCGATTCGTTTTTGTTTAGACGTTACAAGCATTTTAAAAAATATAGTTTCATATTTTAATCAAAGTAGCCTGATAAATAAAAATTATGGTTGCTATAACAATTATTATTTATTATTCATATAAGAAAAAATGTTTGAAATTAATCCAGCTACCATTTGTCAAAGTTTGACACAGGGTTTCTAGAACACCCTGTATATGGTATCATACGCATGTTCACATATTGCTTCTTCAGTCATCCTGTAGGAAATGAAACGTGAGAAAGAACAAGGCAAAACTAACAAAAACCGACTTTTCCTTTTCAATTTCTAAAAAAAAAATAAATAAATATTATGCAAAACGTTTTCCATTCCCTGTAAAATTATATGCACAAAACATCGACTGAAAGCTGTAGCTAGCCGTTCATTAATCAAAAAACAATCAAGATCAGCTAATTTGTTACGGTCAGGGCACGTTATATAACGACTATTTTTTTTTATGAATTTAGCCTAGCCTCGAACAAATAATTGCTTGGAAGTTCATTTACAACGCCGGCTATGGCTGTGCGCAGTATCCAAATACAATAATCAATTTGCGAAACAAATATTTGCCCCAGTTGTGCAATTTACCAGATATAAGTACCTAATCGTAGGGAAAATCTGCGGGAACAGTTTTTCGGAAAATGTAACAATGGTTAAAATTTAACAACCAGTCGATATTGTATTAGAAACTTAAAAACATTCATTAATGCGCTTTCGCGTACCTTCATTCAATAGTATTGAAAGTATAAAATTGTTTAAATTTGACACTACCTGCATTGCGGTAGCAGTGTATAATTATTTTACGTTTCTTAGAATAATCAGTGACCGGTTAATCCCATTCTCTACACTGGACCATTGTTACCAAATTTATTTAAATCGAAAAGGAAAGGGCAAAGAGTCAGTTAGGTTGGCAACTGCTGCGTACAATTTCAAATCAACAACTGCATCACACTGCACACAATTGCAGACAATGACAATTCATAATTAAATAATACAATAACAATTACGTTTAATGTTTTCCTTACCCGTGATGTGACGTCTGACTCAGAATATGTTTTACTTCCACTTTGCCGTTCTGTTCGAGATTCACGTTCATTTTTATGCCTTTCAAACACACCGGCTTGCAAAACTGTAATTCTTCCTACGTGACGTTTGGCGATGCAATAACTGAATTTAGTGTTGCGCATCAACTGGCGCAAGCGTGGAATTTCAACCAGTTACAGGTGTGCTAAAAGGACGTTTCCATGCCCACATGAATCATATCGGACCAAACTGTTGTAACAACAAATTCTTGATGCTATACTTTTTATGTGGGTTTCATTACACGTTTACCGTTAGCAATTTGAAAAATGCGCGCGCATTTTAAATGAAAAAAAACCTTGTTGAAAAATCATTGTACTGTATTGGGCCAGAGGGAAGGAAACTATTTTAGAAACGTTGTAGATGACACCGTAAAGCGACATCTAGAAGGAAGTAGGTACAACTAACACTACAACAGCGCAAAGAATCCTCTTTTGTGTTGTTATACGAAACCTGTGTTCTTTCCGAGATGGCGCTTGCGTTGGTTGCGGTAAAATTGAAATAAATAAAAGGTTAGGGAACCGGTTCAGACAGTATTAATTTCTTGTCCACTTTATGATCCAATTTTTACCTGCAGTTAAGTCACGGCTCAGTTGACTAACAAGAATAGTTTCAAACTATGGTCTGTTTGTTAAATTTAATCTACAGCAGCCTCAGACCTGCCTGCCACTGTCTTGACTAAAAATATTCAATCGAAAATGTTATTTAAGGGAAACATACCTGGTTAAATGTTTAACTCTGTTTTTTGACTTTCTAAATGCAAATTTTACAACAGATTCGACGAATGCTGCTTTAAAGAAGGGTTTCAGGAAAGATCGTATAATAATAAATGACATTGCAACGTATGTAACTATGACAGATACGAAAAATGAGCACATATTTGTAGAACAAACATTGGTAGTGATTAATCAACACTTGTTTAGATCAGTTATTGTGAAAGTTTCTGGCTTTTGAACAATTCTGTTTATTTTCTATTTTGAAGCGCCTGCTGTTTCATTCGGTTTGTTATTAATTCGAAAATACTTCTAAAAATTCACATTTTGTTGCTCTGATATTTATGAATTCATTATTCCCTGTGCCCATTTTGAATTTGTACCTTCAAACTATCTTATTATTGTTTAATTTAGATATTCATGTATTAATGATGTTACTAGTTCTGTGCCAAGATTGGTGCTTTTTAGGTTATGTTATAGAAAATTTCCCGCCAAATTGATGTTAGAATTTTGATTGTTAAACTATATCTTTATGAATCCTCGAATGATGCTAGCAAAGAGATTTAGGTAGAAATAATGATAATGGAGGGAAAACGGAGAGTAATGACAATAAATGAAGGAGTCATGGGTTGGACTATAGCTCTTGGGTACCTACAAAGCAAAAAAAAGCTGCAGTATTGGAAAGAGCACATATTGATGATTTTTTTACTGGGGCTTTCGATAGACTATTTAAATGATTACATTTTACATGTTGTTAGGTATATAGTGAACTTTGAATTAATAATGGGGGTCTCTGGTACCTGTTGATGCTGCGAATTGACAAATTTGAAAATTAGTGATGTACAGGACGTTGGAGTTACCTACTTGTTTCAATACCTAACACCAAGACGGGCATTTCAAGAAAATTTACAATTATAGAAGAAGGATTTTGCGTGAATGCTGTTGAAATGTCCAAAAAAATATATTTCTCTGCGCCCAATTCGTCTAACACAAGACAAACTCTTTTTTAGATACATCAATCAAAAATGTAGTTCTCAGCCTGTTGGAATCAATACATTGACGAAGGTATTCTCAATTCATTGCTGAATATCGCAAATCCAGAAACATCATGGTAATTTTATGATGCACAACTTCAACAACTTTATTGGTCAATAAAGATACTGATCTTACAACCATCAAACGGCATGGTGGATGGAAGAGCTCCTCTGTAGCAGAAAGTTATGTTGAGGGGTCTATTTGATATTGCAAGGAAAATATAGGTGTTCCTTGCAAGAAGAGACATCCGTAACTTGCGCAAATTCTTCACAAACTTCGGCAGATGTTATGCGTTCCGAAAATGATGCCAACAATGCAATGTTATTAACGGAAAGGAAGTTAAATGTGATAAAAAATAAACGATATGTCTACTACTATAAATATAAATGTTAATGTTAATAAGTAAATATATTAAATTTGATTTATTATAGGTTTATTATTTTTTCATTATTCTACTAGTGAAATAAAGTTACTTTATTCCACTAGCGGATAAAGTATCACTTTAGACGGTTCATATGTGGATAAAAGTCCGATTATAAGGTGATTGTGGATAAAATCATTTATTTCTGACAAATTTGTGTACTAGTGAGAATAGAGTATAAAAGAAGATAGTAATTGTTCAGAAAATTTGAATAATTTATGTCTCAAGATTTTTTATTTGTTATGTTTTAAAAATCTCCATGGTATATTCTCGTAAATTCAAATAGAATCTACCCATCCTCTATCATCTAGAAAACAAAAAATTTACCTATAGATTTCCCTATTACAATTTTGATTTGTAATTGTATTTGTGAACAATTTACTATTTCCTAATTTATTTTCTAAATTTATAGTTTCCCACATTTAGGCACACTAATTTAATTTTATTAGGTTTGGCTCGACTATTCTACAAAGTCCTTGGCGCTCTTGCTTTCTTGCTGTGATTTATTCAACCGTAACACCCGTTAATGACAGTGATAGCGACAACAGTGATTAATCTTCTTAATATTAGTCTTATGGATGGTGCACCTCATTTTTTAGTACTTTTTAGTCTTTAATAGAAAGTAAAAGCAAAAGTGTACACGGGTGGTAGTAAACTTGTTTAACTACAAATAAATAAGTACCTACTTATTACAGTTTTCACCAAAATCAAAATATTTATTTGTTGTTCTACATTTAATAATAATTTTTAGAACGCTCTAAAATGATACGCCCATGGAATCCCATTCCCCGCACGTCTTATCCGTCTCAAGGGTCTACATGCGGGGAATGAGTCACTACTTACTATTTTGGCACTGGAGAATGGACTTCTTTTAATTTTCACTCAAAAATATTCGTAACATTTTCTACAAATTATTTAGCTAGGTACGCTTTTTCTAATTCTGTATTAATTCTCAAATATTTCTCTCATTTTGATTTTCGCAAATAATATGACAAACACCAGGCATTCGTATAAAAATAGCCCAATTTTAAATAAAGTCGAATTAATATTTCACCGATGTCGAATAATAAATGTGATCCGACAAAAAAATAACTCACTGGTGTTGGCAATCCTTCAAAAACCTTGAGAGTTTCCAGACAGGACCACTGATCTGTTTATTTTATGAAGTGGGCAGAGATCGGGCGACAGACACGGCCAGAACGTAAAGTATTAGAAATACATGTAAATAAAATATCGTCCGAACTTAATTGACAGTTTGAAATACAAATATAAACCGACCTACGCTCGTCTATAACCTGATTTGCTGTAAAATTGGCCCGATTTTTAAAACACACATATTTAATTAGTAAATGTCCAAAAATCCCAAAAAAAGAGGTATCAAATCAGGTGACCGAGTGAGAATTACAACAGAATGACTTCCATAAAAAAATTACTTACAAAATAAAGCCAGTACTGTTCGTATTTATCAAGTTTTATTGAAATTTTTCAAATTATATTAATGTGAATGAAATGAAATGGTGCATGTATTGAAAGCTTCAGAATGAGGAACTTTCATTACATTGACAAATCTGCCATGTCTTGTTATGTTGCTAAGTTGGCAATGCCAACAAAGGTCAATAGTAGTGGCTAATCATGCTGTATATAATAGCAACAAAACGCTTTCGAAAATATCTCATTTTTTATGTCTATCGGAATCATAATAACTTATGTATTTTCTTACGCTTTTAAAAAAATTGTTATTATAATGTGCTTATGAAACACCCTGTACAAGCAATGATAGAAAAAACCCGTAAAAGTTAAAATTAGGACACAGGGACACCGTGAATTAAAATTCCAAAAATACCAACAGTGTCTAAAAATAAAAATCACATTAAAAATGAGAATATAAAAATAACTTTCGTGAAAAATCTGTGGATCACAAATTGTTTTGACAAATAAATCCTAGATATTTTTCATGTCAACATTGCTTTAATATATGTATAATATTTTATACAGGGTGTAACCTTAAGTGGGAATCAGTTTTTTAGGGATAATAGTATGTATTTCCACAACACTAATCTTAATTAACTTTTTTAAATCAAATAAATTGTAGAGTTGTCATCCCTTTTTTTAAACTACATCTAAACTTTTGTCTACGCCGTTACCGGGCAGTTCCCGAACTCGCTCATAAGTGCGCGCTTATCAGTTTGTTGTCACCATTTTAAACCAATTGTATGTAACATTAACTGAAAACAAATTTTAATATTTGTTGTACGATATTAACCAATATGGATGGATAAACCAAAATTTATATAATTTATAAAATTTATTATTTATTTTAATGAAAAATAAAAATACTTATTAACCTCATAGAATTAATAAAATATAATTTGTTATTATTTTTTTAAAGCACTGTGTTTAGTTTGTGAATCTCAGTGCCACTGACCTCTGACATTGGCCTAGTATATGTGAACTACCTAATACCAATCCACCTGATATGAGACGATAACAGGGCGTTATTATATTTATTTTAGTTTTCAATTTATCGGTTTACGAAAAAGTAGGTAGTTTCGATTAAATTTCATATCGCAGCTAGTGCACGCCGTTTAGGCCACGAAAAAGAGCTGGGAAATGACCATTTCGCGACTTTTTGTTTCGGCAAGCTGAATGTATCACTATAGATGCTAAATATTATGTACAATAACATATTAGTTTCCACAGTCATAAAGAAAATTGTTTACAGGCTCGTTAATTGTATAATTTTTACGTAAATTCACGTTTTTCGCTTATAACTTTTTCCCTTCATTTTCACGAGAAAATAGTAAAGTACATTTTTCTCGTCTTCACAAGACGTACAAAACTAGCCCTCGAGCGTCAAAAAATATTGATTAAATCAAAAGTTATAAACAGAAGAAGTTTATTTATGAATTTTGAATTAAACATTTATAAACTGTGTTATTACTACCAGAACGTTGTGGCATCGCATCCTCTCATTCCTTATCACTAATAACTCACACGAAATCTGGAATCGGTAAGTTGAATAATTTACAAGTTATGGCCTTATAAAATAATAACGCAGTTTATAAATGTTTAATTCAAGTCATAAATAAATTTCTTCTGTTTATAACTTTTGATCTAATCAATATTTTTTTGAAGCTCGAAGCTAGATTTGTAGGTATCTTGAAGACGAAAAAAAAGTACTTTACTGTTTTCTCGTACAAATGAACGGAAAAAAGTTATAAGCGAAAAACGTGAATTACGTAAAAATTATACAATTAACCAGCCTGTAAAACAATCTTCCCTCCATTTTTATGACTGTGGAAACTAATATGTTATTGTAGATAATATTTAGCATCTATAGTGATAAATTCAGCTTGCCGAAATAAAAAGTCGCGTCCAACTCTACATTTCCTGACCTAGTTGTTTGAGGTTAGACTACCCTGTCTAGCGGCGGAGTATGATAATTACGAAAAAAAGAGGTTAAAAACAACGGAATTTGAGAAAACTTACGATATGTGTTTCCAAAGGTCAAGGTTATATTTGAATACAATATTTATGACTACGTAGTTTATATCCCAAAAGATTTCTCATAATTTTTGTTACACACACACAGGATCTTATTGTACAAATAGATCCAAATAATAAATCACACATCATGATTAACATTACTTTAATGCACGATCCATAGTACGTATAGTATCCGATACAAAAATACATGCTAACAAATACAAAAATAAATACAAAACACAGCATTGCATAGACGGAATACAATTGCGGTAATACTAGTTCACTTAGTGGGGGTGATTTTCAGTAGTTCGCACAACTTTTCGTACACTTTCGAAAAGATTTTCGTGTATCCGCTGTTGGTCAGGTGGAGGTAGTCGTGCATGATGTGGTGGGATATCGTCTGGTCGTTGCCTACTATGTGGTCGTCTATGACGACGATGTGCACGTTCTCCGTGGTCTCGTCAGCGTTGACTTCGTCGCAGAACTTGTCTAAGAGGAAGGTGTTGACGTGGTCGTTTCTGTCCCGGTACGGGTTGGGGTACTGACCTCTGGGCAGAAGGGTCTGAAACGTTGAATAATAACGTTTAAGAATAATATTCATAAAATAAGCTGGAATACCTAATTTGTATATACTCGAGAAAAGACGGTGTAAATTTACATTATGTGTATAACTCGTATTAAATTCTTGAAAAGATACAGTAAAATATCAGTTGATGTAAATTTACGTTTATGTTGCAAATGTAAATGTAATTTCACAAATACAATTTCCATTAAATTGATGTGGGTACTATGCTTCCGTAGGTTTAATGTAATTTCCATGTAATTTTACACTATGGCCAACAAATTCAACTATATATTACAGTTCATATAATTACTAGAAAATAGTTAGTTCGTAGTTTCCTTCACTGTAATTTCACATTAACAACTGCGGTGATTCCACAATCAAGATTCGGGCGGCAAATCCCAATGTATTTAATAATCAAATATGTATTCACATTATATTTGCAATATATTGAAAGCTTTTTCGCAAAAATGCACCATAAATAGATTAAAGTTGTGATTTTACATTTGTGTCACAAATATGTTCGATTATAGAGACATAATTATATATTCTGTATATTTAATGTAATTTATTTATAATTTTATAATAATTTATCATCGAAATTGCAAGATATTTCTTTACACTATCACCAATAATTCGCTGAATTTTTAAATTTTATTATTTTTGTCGCTATCTTCAATTATAGAATACAATTGTAATTTTACAATAAAATTACATTTTCTTGAGTAACTGGTAAATTTAGCAAAAATTTGAATCATTTGTATAATTTTAAAAAGCTCGAAAGCAATATTACAAAATATTTTTACAGCCACTTTAAAATTATGTAATTGTCAATTTACATTATACTGCTGGCAGCAAGTAATCTAAACTCAATATTAGAGCCATTTAAAAAAATAAAACATGATTTTATAAAGCAGGACAAGACTTTCCATATGATGTATCATTCGACTCTGTAGGTTCTATAGATTTAATGTAATTTCCTTGTAATTTTACACTAAGGCCTGCCAATTCAAATAATTATTATAAAATTCGTTTAGTAGTATAGGATGAAAAGATTGGGTATCATATTGAGATTTTAAAATGGGAATACATTGGTTTGTAATTTCCTTCATTGTAATTTCACATTAACAACTGCGGTGATTCCACAATCTAGATTCGGGTGGCAAATCCCAATATATTTAATAATCAAATATGTATTCACATTATATTTGCAATATATTAAAAGTTTTTTCGCAAAAATGCACCATAAATTGTTGTTGTGATTTTACATTTGTGTCACAGATCTGTTCGATTATAGAGACATAATTACATATTTTTTCTAAAGTTTAATGTATTTTATTTATAATGTTTTAATAATTTATCATCGAAATTGCAAGATATTTCTTTACACTAAACTATTATCAACAGTTCGTTGAATTTAACAATTTATTATTTTCAATTTATTGTAATTTATCTCCAATTATAGACAGACTTGTAATTTTACAATACAATTACATTATTTTGGGTAACTGGCAAATTTTACAAATATTTTTATCATTTCAAATGTAAAATTTTATCAAGATTAAAAGTAATTTTACAAAATATTTTTAGACATTTTACAGACATTTTTTAGACAGAAGTAAAACATGATTTTATAGAGGAGCACAAGACTTTCCGTATGATGTATCACTCGACTCAATTCCCCATAAAAAATCAGAAGTGGGAGTGAATGTGACGTCGTAATATGACCATGTACCAAGTTACCGGAGGTTAGGTTTTCACTGTGTTAGAACACACTGTATGATATGGCATTTATAAACTTGACTGAAAAAGGAAATGCATGCTGCTTATTATTGCAATATATCTCATATAATAGGGACTAATCTCTAATAAAGTAAGAATTTAAATTGACAGCACCTACGTGTTTAGCTTTTCTTTAACAGCCAATTCTAATACGGTTTAATTAAGTGATAAGTAGAGCGTAAAGGACGGCTATAAATTTTCGTTCTAATGCGACGTACGTGCAAATTAACACACTTAAAAAAATGCGACCTGATAGACTACATAAGGCAGGTAGATAAAAAGATTGATAGATTGTCACTACTCTGTACTTATAGTAATTTATTTTACATGGATCAGAAATAATAACTATACTTACTATCCTTAGTTTTAATTTCATGGAGATATAAAGGGTGTTCCGAAAGTAACGTTGATTTGTGCGTCATTTTCATTCCGAAAAGTTGGCAGTATTGTGCGGGGTCACATGTTGTAGCAAACTTGTTGCGGTTAGACAAAACGGAACGCTATACGGCGAATGAGCGAGTGAAGATTATGAAAATTTCATTACAAGTACGGAGAGTGTGTAGCTGAGACTATGCGCAAATTACGTGGATTTTCTGTAGAAGGAACGCTCCTAATGAAACAAATGTGGAAAAATTAGTTGCCAATGAAAAAATATATTGTGTTATAATAAAAAACTGAAAATTCTAGAAAAATGTGTGTACATAAAAAACTATCTACAAAAGAACACTTTACAAATTTCAAATATTTTCACAAACAAAAAAGTTATAGGGTAAAAAATGCCCTGTATCTCTTACACGAATCTTGATATCGAGATGAGGTTTTTGCCATAAAAATTTTCTGGAAAACCGAGCCCGTGACACCTCAACCACATATTTTCTACCTTTCCGAGAAATGTTACAAACTTACAAACGTTCTAAAAGTGTCGAATTTCGCCCACCCTGCACAATACTAGTTCGAAAGAGTATTTAATTTCAATAATTTTTGTTATGCACCAATGTCAGGTTTACGTCAAATCGCATACATTTTTAAAATAACAAATATAATAAAATTAATTGATTTGTTTTGATTCTGAATAAATAGAAGAGGTTTCAAATTTGATGAATATATTTTTTCAATGAGTTTTAAGATAAGAATTGTCAGGTTTATTTAAAAGATTTAAATGAAAATCACGGGAATATGCATTGCATTCGTTTTTACACGATTTTTAGAAAAAATATTGCTCTAGCGAAAGGCGGATATCTATATTTTCTATACAAAAGATGATTAAAGTTCGATATACATCTACACCACTGTACTGTGATAGTTGGTAAGGATATCTGACAAGGATTTATTGAAAAATAAGCGTTCCTCTTTTCTCAGATAACCACATCCTACAAAAATTTTAAATCAAATATTATTTTTTATCTACTACATTTTTTGTTAAAATGGTGATGTGAATAACTTGATTTTTTTTCTTTTATGAGTAATTCTAGTAAAACATAGGTACCTCAATTTTCTACCAAACGAGATAAAATAAATGCAAATTTTACTTACGGGTACAACAATTAAAACATTTCCCAGTCTATGCTTAATCTCCTTGATTATCTCTACAATCCCTTCGAATATTTCGTGAGGCGTACAGTCTGTGATATTATTCGTGCCTACAAATAACACAACGGCCTTTATTTTCGTATTGAACTCCAATTCTCCATTCTGAATCCTCCACAACACATTTTCAACTCTAAAAAATAATACTTTTGCTAAGGCTACAAAATAACTATTATTTTATTCTTGGTTGGTTGGTTCATATATTTTTTTTATTTGTAACAGGTGAAATAAACAGATACACTCACCTGTCACCTCCTATTCCAAAATTTATACAATGCAGAGAGCTAATTTTTTCAGTCCATAATGTGCTAAATTGTAATTGTTGTATTATAGAATCTCCAATGAACAGTACTTCCGGTTCACTAGATTTTGCCTGCTGGACGTAACGATTGTGCTAAAAATTAAGAATTTTACCAATATATGGAAGAAACAGAGGATCGGGTCATAGGTTTTGAAGGGCAATTTTCCAACAATCTCATCAACAATCTGCACGATTGTAATATATTATTTTGATTTTTGGGATTCAAAACATTGGTGAAATTTATAGCTAACAGAACAATTAAAAGAATTTTCAAGCGTTGTAAAATTTAATGACCCACAAGCTATACAATTTTGAACAATGCGATGAATATTCACTACAAACGTCAATATGACAAAAAAATTTTACATCTATTAACGATGCATCCATCAAAAAGTTAAAAAAATTGACTCGCTTTCGAGAAAGTACGCACTTCCAAAGCTCTAGCGTTACAAAAATAGTCTAGTTATAATAGCAGGTAATTTTAATATCGATGGAAGTGATAAGTATAATATTTATCGAGGTCACAGGTGCATATCTATGTCTGTCTGCCTCTGATCTGAAACTTTGCATCGATCAATTTATTCGATACGTGTCGGTGAACAATCCAGTTTTTTGCCAAGGGACGTTGGCATTGCATTTCATTGTCGTTTGTGCGTGTGTGAGGGGGCTTGACGCTGTGCTTGGTATGGCACGTGTTTTTATGGCAGTCAGTAGCATTGCGTTTTGTGAGAATAGAGCGGCACACTACTTGACCACATATTTAACCTATTTCTGCCACTACAACGCATATTGCCCATTATTGGCATAATATTTTATTGTCGCCACAGAGTTTTCGATGTCTAGGTACTCATAATATACTTCCTAGTAATTTGGAAAAGACAGGTATAAGAGCATGAGTAGTTTGTATCATACCCCAGTGTGAGAAAACATATGTGTCTTCACTTTTGAATTATATTATTAAAAATATCCGAATGGTTTAATCAACATTCGTTTGGAATTAAATAATAATAAAATAGAGTATATTCCATTTAAACATAGCAGAAAGAAGTATGAATATGTAAAGAAAATAAAAATTAATGGATAAATATTAAATGTTCAGTAAATTTAGAATTTATGGGAGTTGCTATTGACGAGCATTTATCTTGGAAAGATCATATATGTATGAGTGTTACATGTTACATGGAAGGCTTAGTACAATTCCCGATGTTTTATTTATTAACTATCTGTAATGTAAAACACGTTTTCTTGTTTTTTAAACTTGCACCAAACTAACTTTACACTAAATTCTTCTACGCTAGGTGAATAGACTTACAAAAACCATTCGTAATAATAAAGAAAAAAATAAAAAAATAACTACTCATACTTCGAGCATTTTCCAGATGTTTTTCGGTAACAGATACAGTCGCATAAAACGACGAAGCACTTAAGTGGACGAACTAAATAACAACAACATCCTCAACACCTTTCTCATAGGTCATAACAATCCACACAATGACCTTTAGTTCCTTAATTACCACTTTATTTCGTTTATTGTCGCGGATGATCTGGTGACTTGCCCCCATAAATTTCGTCGAATTATGTATATCCAAGAATTACTCAGAAGTTGACACTTTCTAAATTACCTTCAAGGTCGCTTAAGGTGAACATCACAAAATAGTGCATGTACTCTGCTGATTAAATCTACTTTTTCATAGTAAAGAGTAACGTATCACTTTTAATCACTTGGAAATAAATTTACACTTGGAAAAATATACGAGGTTTGATCAAAAAGCAATGGGAATTCTTAGTTTTTATAACATCCCCTTCAAAGTAGCCCCCCTGTGATGTTATTACACTTACAGCAACGTAGTTTCCAAAAAATTGTCAAAAACACTGAGATAAGTTTTATTCATTTGTTCGCTAAATTCAAACTAAGCATGATACCTGCTTAAAAATTGTCAGGTACGTCACTGACAGTGCTGTCATTACACAAAATAAAGAATCAACTCGATAGACAAGATATAACACTCGCAATTCGCAAACTCCCGTTACTTTTTGCTCAAATGTCGTATGTTGCACTTAGTGGATTTAAAGTGCCGCTTTAATCATTATTTTAATGGTATAAAGTGTCAATATAAATCTTTAGGAATGAAATTTAACACATTTTTTTATATTCTGTGGATTAAAAATGCTGTTTTAATCATTTTTTTACAGAGTAGTGCCATTTTCAGTCCTTAGAGAATAAAAGAACTGTTTTTGCACTTTGCGGATTTAAAGTGTTGTTTTAATGTGCTGTTGGTTGCATTGATTCAGTTTAACTCGGCGCTTAGGTAATTTGATATTTGTCCTGCATTTGAAAGTTTTGTGAAAAACTAACAGTAAAGGGAAGCCTTATTACTTGAAACTTATAAGGCCTTTGGACAAAATGTATGTAATATATTTCATTGAAAGATTAAAAAAACCTAACAATTTTTAAATATCACGTCAACTTCAAGAAACCTGTCTCAAATATGGCCTCGTTATTTTTATCCGTTTCTACAGTTCTTGGAAATAAACGTAACAGAGGACTGTAAATGAATATTATCTCCAAGTTCACTAGACCGTAAAACTTCACGGTTCAATTGTGAAATTATTTCAACTAGAATATTTTTTTAAGGAAAATATAGAGGAAATTAGGAACAAAATATTTTAGAACAGCTTTTAAAGGTAAAATAGTTAAGACAACAGTACCTATGCACAAAGGATACATTGCATTTTTGATGTTCTACCAGGTCTGTTAAAAAAATAACCGAACTTTTTGATTGGTTGGCAGCATTGCGTTGCGCATAACCTCTTCTCTAGCCACATGTTTTTGAATTGTTGATATCTCATTTAGTTTTCACTCAAAAGTGTGCGAATAGAAGAGGGAGTATTTTGAAGGAGACAAGGATCAATTAACAGTCTTAACTTAAACTGTCAGCAACATAACTTTCTGCAGTTGCAGCTGATTTCCACCCACCATGTCTCTTGACTGCTAATACATCAACTCCTGTATTAGCCAGTATCGTTGCCGATGTGCTTCGGACTGAATGGCTTGTATATGTTTCAGGATGTTCTAGTTTCAAAAACTGTGCAATCTTATTAGGAATCATAGAAAGGATATTCTTACCGACTGGTTGGTTGTAACATCTACCTGCTTGATAGCGCATAAAAAAGCGTGAAATTTCAGTTTTAATTTCCAATCTAATCTTGATATATTTCTTGAGAATTTCTAGGTGAGATACAGAACCCTGATGAGAGGTAATTGTAAATGTACGTGACATACCATTTTTAGAATTTGGAATTGTAACTACAACGTCATCGAAATTTTTGAAATTGACGTTGTCCAAAGTAAGTTTGCATAACTCATCAGAACGGCATGCTCCTGCAATGCCTAAGGCCGTCACTACCTTCATTAGAAAATATGTGTTATTGGGTGCCTCAACGAGAAAATCGTTGTTGTATATTCACAATGAACTTTAAATTATTACTAATTAAAGTACATTTTAATTATTACATGTTTACTTTCGTTAATTTATTATTTTGCACATAAAAATTTATGAAACTTAAGAAAAAATCACGAATATATTTTGTTGTGGGTAGTCTTTTATTTCCTTAGTTTATTTCCTCTCTTTTGAAAATATTCCTAGCAGTACCCAAAGTTAATTGTTGTATTGGTGCTATTGAAAGCAAAATCAGTCTCAAAACTGCTAGTTATATCGGTAATTTTTCATTTGCGGAAAGAATTAGAGTTTACATTTTTATGAAATAATAAAAAGGTGAATTGGCGGGTTAATTTTGCCTACCTAGTTTTATTTTTAACATATTAAATTGGTCTCAAAAACAAGACAAACTCGTTAAATGGTCGTCACCCGATTTTAAAAACAAGACGTAAATTAAATGATTTAATCTTTGATCTGAATGATATAAAGCGCGTTTAAAAATGTAAAATGGTCGATTTTTTAAATTTGTGTGATAAATACTATAATCAATGGATTGTGGACATAATAAATTTAATTTAAAGGTATGTTGCGCGTAATTTATATAAAACATTCTTCAATCAAATCCCACTAAGTATTGGACAATTATATTCAAATATACAGGGTGTGCGGAAAATAGACATAATAAGAATAAGATTTCTTATTTGGAGTTTCAAAATTTATGGAAGATGCCCATTGAACCAATTTTGGGATGTGATTTTCTGAATTCAACTGAACTTTTTTATGGTTTCGAAAATATTTTTTTGAGAACATACAAATGTTTAAAAAATAATAAATAAAATGTTTACGTGTATTATTACTTTTTTTTAGCATTTTCCAACATATTTTGGAGCATCAAAGATCTTCATTTCATAAAAGGTTCGAATTGATGGACACTTTTTCGAGTTATTCCAAAAAAAAAACAGAAATTTCTCGGGAATTTTGACGCACTCTGTCGGCTAAATTAAACGATTTTGAATAAGTAGGTTGGGATCACTATGAGCCAATGAATCTTTGATCCAATGTTGTACAGGATTAGCCACTATAATCTGACAATTTATTGTGAGTTTATTATTGAAATTATAAAAAAGTTTCTGATACAAAAATTTTAGCTTTTTCATGAATTTTTGTAATACAGTATTAGAAAAAACAAAAATAATGGAAATCACTTAATTAAAGAAAACATTTTTTTTTATTCGTTAAACCTTTCTCTTTTCAAAAATATATATGTTACTGTTTGATTCAGGACTTTTCGACAAATTTCAGTGTAAAACTATTTTTGAAAAAACAGGAGAGACATTTATGTCTGACGAATCGCAGTGGCTATGGCCGAGGCACGCGGAACAAACAAATTACTTCGACAGAAGTTTATTTATCATTATTAATTTATTCCCTATAAGAAATTATTTTAACAAAAAAATAATGTTTAGTGAGAACGTATTATGTATTTTTGAAAAGAGAAAAATTTAACGAAGCTAAGTATCCGCGAATATATAGGATATTCCATTAAACATATTTTTTCTTTAATTTAGCAATTTCCATTATTCAATTGCTTTTCTAATACTGTAATATAAAAATTCATAAAAAAGCTAAAACTTTTGCATTAAAAACATTTTT